TCCTGAAGACCTTGCAGGCCTTAAGCCTCTTTAGGGTTTAGGGGTTATGCATAGTATCTCCTGAAGCGAAGAGTGACCGTGGAATTGCCTCTCAAGTTCTGATGGCCCATGCTAGGGCAATGGTTGGCGCCCGCGCTCTTTGAAGCCCGACAGCTCTTAGGGTCCCTGGGTTTTCAGTCGTGCGCTGCTACTCCGTGGGGCGCTGTCTTCTTCGCGATCCTTGCTTCCTTTCTGATCGGCTGCTGCTGCGGATCACTGCTCTCTTGCGTTGCACTTTCTGCCAACTGCAGGCGAGCTCTTTATTCCTTGCTGCGAACCTTCCTGGCTGAAGCTTGGCTCGCTGAGGCCCCGCGGTTGACCGCGGACCAACGTCTGGCTGAGTACAGGGCCCGACGTGCATGAGTGGCCCGGACCGCGAGGTGGACGAGCTCACTTTGAGGGTCGGGCGGCGTGAGATTACCGTTCGGCAACGGCCGGCCCCCGCAAAGGAGGTCGACGAGGACTTCATTGTGGTTGCAGCTCCGCCTGCTGGTGAAACCTCTAGTGACGAGGAGGTGCTTGCTGCAGGGACCGCGGACGAGCTCAAGGAGCTCCGATTGCCCTTGACTGGCTGCGGCGGGGATTGGACGGCTTTCGCTCGGGTGGCTCGCGCCTACCGGGCGGGACTGGGTGCCAAGTGGCACTTGGCAGGAGGCCATAAGATTTGGTCCCCTGCGACCCCTGGCTGCTTCCAGGTCTACAGTGAATCCGTGCGGGCCCCCGGTGGGCCGAAGGGCTCCTTTGCCCCAAGCAGTTCATCGCACTCCTTTGCTTCACTGGCAGAGGCTGAGGCCTATATCTTGGGCTCCGCGCGGCAATGGCCGCCGCAACATCAGTCATGAGACGGGCCTTGGCCCGAGCGGACGCGGAGGCTGCTACCTCCTCTGTATCTGGTTCTGCCTTACGAGGACGATGGGTCGGAGCAGTTTGTCACCTCCTATCTGGTCCGGGTTCGCGAGAACGGCTTCATGGTGGTACTCCCAGACCTGGAGTCGGTGCGGGCCCGCTTGGACGCTCTCATCAACGAGGATGGCGAGGGCATTCCTTTACAGCGGCGCGACCAGGTGCAAGCCGAGACTGTGAGAGGCCGCCAGTTGGCCCCGGCCGGGTCATTTTCGCCGATTTCCTTTGGAGTGGTTGCGAGTTCTTCGTGAAGCCTACGGCCCTTCGAGGGATGGCCGATCGCGCCTCACGAGTTTTCACTCTGACTGTGGGCGATGTCGTCGCAGGGCCTTCGGCAGCGGACGCCCAGACACCGCGCGGGGGCTGGATCGATGAACTGGACCCCGACATGGGCCAGCGCCCACGATGGCGAGGCGGAGGAGGAAGAAGCACCAGATGGGGAGGCGCCTCCGGCACTTCCTCAGCCCATGCTGCCTCCCCGAACTTTGCCACCGGCGACGAGGCGAGAGCGTCACAGGCGAACCAAGGCAGGCCCGGAGGACTGTTCCAGGCGGGCCGTGGTCTCACGGCCGCCGAGCTCGATGGTTTGAGGGGCCTTGCCGGGGCAGCGCCAGCGCGAACGGGCACTCTGGAAAGGAGCCGGGCGCTGACTACTCCTGTTTACGAGGGGGGCCTGCACCTCGAAGCAGAGTTCGGAGCCCTGCCACCAGCGGACATTCAGGAATCGGCGGGCGAGATGATGGATTCCACGTCCACCCTGCAGTCTTTGCTCCTGCCTCAGATACGACAGAACGCGATCCTCCTAAAAAGCTGACGGCGGGAAAGGGCGGCGACGGGATACAAGAGGCCCTCGCCGGCGCCGAAGGCAACGGGCCCGAAAGCTCCTCAGGAGTCAAGGGCCACTTAGCCCGCGATGCCTTTGTGAAGCAGGTCTCCGACTGCAAGCTGGTAGCGGCCAAGGTTCAGGAAAATGCGATGCTGGAGCTCGGTCTCAGTGCCCCAGAACCAGGGATGATGAGGACTTATCTCGAGCAGCGTGTGCTATTGGCGGACCATCGTCTCCTCCAACATGTGGCGGCCCTAGCGGCCTTTGGCTGGGAACTGGGGTACAAGACGGAGAGCGACGAGCTGAAGGGATTTTGCTCGAGGCGGCCCTGGACTCGGGCAAAGTCCAGCTGGCTTATCTGCTGGCCGGCTTCCCGGACCCATCGCCGGTGGGCCTGACGCATCGCCGAGCTCCCGGCCTCAAGACGTTCTTTCGCTTGGCAGCACCCCAGTGGCTGGCTGCAAATCTGGCCTACTTGAAGGACTTAGATTATGCCGAAACAAGGATCAATCAAATGACCTAGCACAGAGACGGGCGAGGAGACAGAGAAGCCTCCGCGCCGGCCGCCCCGGCGCCCGAAGAACACTGCAAGCTAGGGGGTTCGGTGCATAAGAGGGTTTGGGTTCCTTCGGGCAGTCGGGATAGTCGTTTGCCTGCTGGAGCCCCACAGCCTGCTGATGTGCCGAGTTTTGACCCGCAGTCTACGGACCTCGTTGACCCCCTTAAATTAGCCTCCGTTTTTGTTAAGTGTTTTTACGGTTCTAATTCCTGCCTCTCCTGGTTTACCCGCGATTCCCTGAGAGAGCCCAACGCCTGCACAGTGAAGGTTGTGACCTCGGATCACGACATATGGCCGGTTCCTCCACCTAGGTGGCGTTGGACTGCCTGCAAATCTCGCAGCCGGCGCCGAAGGCAGCGTTTCCTGCGATTGCGAGTCCGAGCACAAATTTTGCAGCTGGTAGTGTGTGCCCTGAATTGGGAAGCCTTAGGTCACGCTCATGTAGGTGCCCCTACAAGCCAAAGCCAGCAACGTGTGCTCGACTTGCTTGAAGCGCAAATCGACTACCTGCTTCGTGTGCCGAGTTTCGTTCCGGACAGCCTGGGGCGAACCGCTGAGAAATTAAGCTCATTTGCCAGAGTCATTGAGGAACTTCCCCATGAGAGCTTCGGGGAACAGGACCTCCTCGGATGGGCTTCCAACCTGCATGCCTCACTGCTCCCTTATGATCACCCTAAGCCTGCCAAATCCCCTTCAAGGATCCTAGGCAACATGAATGGTCTCAGGTCTCTGGTACCCTACAAGAAATAACAAGAACCTGAGACCATTCGCTGTGAGGACCCCGGATCCCAGGCTGCACGGCAATTCATTGACTTTCGAACAGGCGGCCCTCTTCCTATGGTTGCCGATCGGGTCAAGTGGAAGTGCGGTCCCAGCTTCAATCCAAAGCCTTACTTAAGCCCTTCCCTAAACCTCGCTTACGAGCACCCTGCTGCACTTCGCCGCCCGAGGGACCAGTGGCCTCGAATGACACCGGCAAAGCTGCATTGTAGCCGGGAGGAGCTTTTACAGCTAGGGCGTAAGCTTGACAAGTTCGGTGCCATACGTGTGTTTGATGCGTCTTTGGTTGATTGGTCGGAGGCGGTTGGTCTGTTTTGCGTGAGCAAATCTGCTACCCATGACAGATTGATCATTAATCCTACGGTCAGCAACTCTAGGTCCTATACGGTGTCACGGTATTCCAAAACGCTTACTCCGGGCTCACTGCTGTGTCTTTTGCACCTAGGGCCTGAGACTGCTTTTCGCTACAGTGCAGATGACTTGTCTGATTACTATTACAGCTATAGAATCAGCGACGACCGCGCTTTGCGGAACAGTTTCAGGTGCCGCTTCGACCCGTCCGAAGTGATGGATTTTTGTGATGCACAGGACCGCAGCCTCGAGGGTCCCCAAGTGCTTGCACTTAACGCCTTAGCTATGGGCGATAGTCTAGCGGTTGAGGTAGGACAAGCCGCACATTTTCAGGTGCTGTGTCAGCATGCCTCTGCATTGCATCCGGACCAGACTTTGTTGTACCGGCAGGTGGTACCTAAGGGAGATACCGTAGAGATGTTATCGATCGACGACCATATTTGCCTGCAGAAGGTACCACTTTCCGAACTTGCACAGAAGCCACCACGACGCGACACAATCATCTTCGATAAGGCTACCCTTGCGTACAAGCTTGTGGGTCTTAACCTGAATGATGATAAGAAGCGCCGGGACCTCACCAAAGGTGTCCTCTTGGGAGCCGAAGTCGATGGTGTTCTTGGTGTCGTGGGTCCGCCTCGCGACCGAACTCTCAGCTTAGCACTGCTCACGGCCTTGGTCGCAAAACGAGGCCATTGCACACGTGAGTTGCTGGAGCGCCTGCTAGGTTCATGGATCCATGCAGTCATGTTTCGCCGCCCTGTGTTCGCTGTGCTTGATCAGTTGTTTCGCGAGGGTCTCCGGAATCCAAGAAACCTCGTTTTCAAACTCAGTGATCAAGCCAAGAATGAACTGCTAATGCTTTCCTGCTTGGCCAGCACTTTAGTTACAGACCTCCGCACAGCGTACGACCAGCGGCTTTATTGCCTTGACGCATCGCCTCAAGGAGGAGCCGTGTGTGCTGCCCAGGTTGGCTCGAGTGCTTCAGCAGAGCTTTGGCGTCATGGCGAGTGAAGGGGTTACCACACTCGTTTGCAGTCCGAAGTGTCAGCTCTGCTCAGTGAAAAAGGTATCACACACGCAAGCGAGGATCTCTTCGGGGCCACCAGCGGCCCTCCTCCCGAGATTCGTAGCCAACCCTGTCTCGACCCCTTGATTCCTAGGCCTCTGCAAGAAGGGATCCTTTATGATGCCGTCATGTTGGGTTCTTCTTTCACCGCCTGGGGTCATGCCTTACAGAGTTTTGGTTTGAGGGTCTTGTTTAAAGGGTTGCGTCCGAGCGCATCTCATGGTGGCCGGCCGGTCTTCTGCAGCGAGTCTTTCCACGAACTAGCTGCGTTGGCCGCACGGCGCGTCGTCCGTGAGTGGCACTGGAGCGGTCTTCGGTACCTTGCGAAAGCCTCGCAAGCGGTCCCAGCTGTGTCCGTGGGGCTTTGACACGGGTGACGCCGACACTGCTTTGGAAAACGCTACTGCGCGCCGCCTTGGGTTTCTCCTGTGCCTGGCAACGCGCTGCGGACAGTGGATTTCAATCGCCCAGCCCAGCTGCAGCACTTTGTTCGGCATGAACGTGTTCAAAACTCTCGGCCTCCTGGACAAAGCCAGGGCACATCGATGTCAATGAAGCTCGGGTTTTTAAGAGTTGGGTTAAGTCGGTTGCCCGTAGTTCCCATAGGGTTCGGTCCACTGCCCTCCTTGACTCCAGGGTTACGATTGGTGCTGCTGCCAAGGGTCGTTCAAGCAGCTACGCTATCAGCCGCATTCTCCAGCGTTACATCCTAGGAGCGGGGATTTACTTCAGCCTTCTACATTGTTACTCGGAGGACAACGTCGCTGATCCACCCAGCCGGGCGCCTCTGCTGCAACACAAGCTTCTTCGGCCAGCCAGACCAGAAAGAGCTGGAAGCTCTTTTGCATCTTCTGATTCGTGCTTTGAACGAAACCAGAGCGAAGGTCGAGCAGTGCGAGGCCGCTCCGGTGGCCCTGGGTTGCGCTCGACGTCGCCAGCGAGGAGCAGTAGCAGCCTGACAGGGCCTGACCCAGCGTCCGAGGACACGAGGAACACGAGCGGCCGCCGTGACCGCTTCAAAACCCCGTGCGTCACCTTCCAGCAGGGCCTGCAGCCAACCTGGAACTTCGCGACCTTGGGGAGCAACATCACGACGTCTTCGAGACGGCTGAAGCCACTGCAGCTGCGCTACGCGGCTTTGGGCTGCACCTCTACGAGGTTGGCATGCCTCGCTACCTTTTGGTATACGCGATTACTGCCGTACAAGACCGCTACCCTCAGCACAGGAATTTCTTGACTCCGGCGTGGCAGATTGACAAGAAGTGGCAGCGCGCAGAGCCGGGCGAGTGTCGCCCTGTCTTGCCCGTGGCTTGCGTGCGTGCTGCTGTGAGCTTGAGTTTGCTTTGGGGCTGGTTCCGTTGGACTGCTGCTCTCATCATCGGGTTCTTAGCCATGCTGCACCCAGGCGAATTAATCGCCCTGACGCGTAAAGACTTGGTCTTCCCGGTCGACGTCGACACCTTGGACCACTCGGAAAGTCTTTTCGTACACCTTAGAGACCCTAAGACGTCACGGTTCGCCAGGAGACAGCATGGAAGGATAGACGATGAATGGGCTATAAAGTTTCTGTACACCGTTGCTCACGATCTGCGGCTGGACGAGAAGCTCTACCCGGGCTCCTTGCACACTTTCCGCCGGCAGTGGGACGCCGTGCTTTCATGGCTCGGCCTCCCAACCCGGGCCGCTGTGAAGGGAGCCACGCCGGGGGTGCTTCGCGGCTCCGGCGCCACGCATTTCTACCTTTGCACGGAGAACATCCCGCTGCTGGCCTGGCGCGGCCGCTGGGCGCGCACTAAGACGCTGGAGTATTAACTTCAAGAAGTTGCTGCTCAGACTTTGTTGTCCGAATTGCCGGCTTCGGTGCGAGCCCGCAATCGGATCTTCGATCGAGCAGCTGACGATCTGTTGGTTCACTTCGCTGGGTGCTGATCGCTCAGCCAGGCCTGCACGTAGCAAGTTTGACAGTCGTGCTTCGCAGGATTATAGGAGTGGAAGAGGAATCTACTGTTTTACTGTACATGTACGATTTCAGTTCGGCCTCAAGCAGAGCGCCTGTTCGTCGAGAATCTTCCAGCAGGCTCTGCTGTTTTCGGCTTCGCTGCTGCGCAGCCTCGGGAAACTTTGCAATTCGCAGGCATGAGAAAGGGAGATGCATAGTATCTCCCGAAGCGAAGAGTGACCGTGGAATTGCCTCTCAAGTTCTCCCACCCGCCCGCCCTTTCGCGGCAGGGAAGAGGAATCTACTGTTTTACTGTACATGCACGATTTCAGTTCGGCCTCAAGCAAAGCGCCTGTTCGTCGAGAATCTTCCGGCAGGCTCTGCTGTTTTCGGCTTCGCTGCTGCGCAGCCTCGGGAAACTTTGCAATTCGCAGGCATGAGAAAGGGAGATAGGTTTTAGGGTTTAGGCTGAAACGTGGGTGCGTAGGCCACACTCGCATGTCGCTTGCGGGGTCTACGTAAACAAAGCATATAATTATATACGAAGTTTACGCTCCAATCCTTATTTTTTGCGCTTATTGCGCTTTCTGCGCTTTCTGCGTTGACATTTGGATGACGCCGGATTTCCAAACTACATTGCAAAAAAAGCACAACAACGAAGGATCCTTTTCTGTTTATTCCTGCATCACAACTCCGGCGTTTTTCCACACATGATTGTCGCCATCCGAGTTTTAATCAGGGATTTTACAAGCTTTTTGTATGTAAAAACATCCTATCGCCAATTTGGCTCGAAAGCTGCCCCAGGCCAAATCCACAAAGCAAGATTGCGATTTTTTGGTTAGCTAGTTGCTATGTGTGTTTTTCCAGCTTTCGTGCTATGTTTCCATTGAGCAAGGACGACGATACCGACCATGACGAGAACGACCATGGCCAGGAAATCACCAAGAGAACAGTAAGGAAGAAACAGGAAATCAGCGCAGCAGAAAACTACCGAAATGTTTCCCCTAAGTACTGGCGAGTTGAAAGCACAATGGAGAGCACGACGAAGTCGCTTCCCAGCAAGTACTGGCAGCTGAAGGACCAGCACGAAAGTATTATCCGCGAACTACTGGCGCGCTTGGGGCAGGAATCTCGCGAGCCGCAGGCATCCTGTGTAATTAAAGTAGGACGGAGCAGCATCATGTACTGTAGAAAATAGGACGCGGACACATAGTTTTTTTTTTGATCCTGTTTAAGTTCTTATTTGATCCGCAGGCGACTAACTTTTTTTTTGATCCTGATTAAGTTTTTTTTTGATCCGGCACCCACCCGGAACATCCAAGCTCAGGGAACCAAAGATCGCCACTGCGGTGGAGCGACTTGCAGTCTGCCGGCAAAGCACCTGGCATGGCGCAGAAGCTTCTGGTGAGGTTCGGTTTTGATGGATGGCCGATGTGCTTCTTTGTTGGTGCTTTGTTCGCAACCGTCACTGGCGAACGAAATGACAGTCCCACATATTTTTTCTTGGCTCGTCCGAGTTCTTTGGTTAGTTTAGGTCTCTGCTTGCCCGTCTCGGCAATAGTAGTCTTGAGCAACGGGCTTTGAGAACCTTGGAAAAGGAAGGCAAGTGATTGCGGCGTTTGTGTCGGTTTTTTCAACCTGAATGTACCAGGATGATGTGTGATGACATGGACCCCTTTGTCTGCAGATTTCGGGAATTGGGCAAAGTGTGCTGGAGTGCAGGCAGTAGAATCTAGAAGTTGTAAGCCCGAGGCTGTGGACGGTCGGTCGGAAACGAGAAGCAATCGGGTTTGCAAAAGTTTGGGGTCCACTGCGAAACCTTTCTCGTGCGGCGGTGGTGGAATAGTAGCAGCACTATTGGTTCTAGTAGTCGCCGTCGTAGTACTAGTCGTAGGCGCAACAGCAGCAGTTGCTCTTGCTGCTCCTGCTGCTCCTGCTGCTGCTGCTGCTGCTGCTGCTGCTGCTGCTGCTGCTGGTAGACGAGAGTTCGGTTGAATTTCCAAGCCTCTTCGCCCCTGCAAGGCCGGGGCCCAAAGCGAGTCCGACCTCCAAGAGGCCTTTTCCTAGGACGGCGCGGTTCTACCGGCGGCCGGGCTGAGACATTCTGTTTTTTCTAGGGCCTACATGCGAGGCGTTGCTCAGAACTGTTTTCAAGCTTGGAGTCCGCTTTCGCCTGGGGGCTGAGGACTGAGATTAGAAGCTTCTAGTCCGAGTTCTGGTGTTCCGGTTGTAAGATCACACGAAGGCTGTGTCTCCGGGCGGTAGATGCGGCTTCCGGCCTCAAGGCTTGGAAATCCAAGTCGTAGCAACTCGTCAAGACATGCAAACAAGGCGTGTCCTGACGCTCCGGAGAAAAGATGCAGCTTTGCAGACAGAGGTTCATCGAGGCCAAACCCCTCAGCTAGACATCACGCTCGCAGTCATCGCTGACGGGCTTGGCTCGGCTCAAGCACAGCACTCTTCCGTTCCGAGATCAAGATTGGCAGAAGCCTCGGTGATTCTGGGACCGCAGGGGGCAAGGGATGCAGCTCTAGCTTTCAACATGTATGTGTTCAGGGCACAGCTTGGCATTCCTTGAAAATGCTGACTTGTGTGGAAGCATGTTGAAGCCCGGGACACTCGTATCCAAACCCTCTGCTTTGCGTTTCAGGACCTGGGGCTCTTCATGACTACATGTGGCTGTCGAGCTGTATTTTTCGGTGGTCTGGCGTTCAATGTCAGGATCTTGCAGAAATGACGACATGGCTTGGTCAGGCTGTTTCAACGTTGGGAAGCTTTCTCCGAAGTCCAGGGACGCCGACAGGTTCGTACCCGGCAGCAAGCCAATGGAGTCCGAATTGCACTTGCCACGTAGACGGCAGGTTAACCTCAGTTTGGCCTGAGGAGTTTGCTCGAGAAAAAAATCCTCCGGTCCTCTGAGGTGGCCGTGCAGACTTGGACAAAGCCGTCTTTCGTTCAAGGTGCCTCACATGAGTCAGACATGGCAGGAGAGTAGGATGTAACATTGCATGCAACCACAGTCAAGCTGTGAACGGCTCTGTTGGGACTTTGGCTTCCTGCGTAAACCATGGACATGTTCGGAGTTTTTCTGCTGAATACGGGCTGATTGCATTGAACTCAATATCACCTGTACCTGGCCAGATGAGTGCGCAATCGTACCTGGAATCCACGATCAGCGCACCCGGCTTGTGTTGTGAGAGGGAACTTCTCCATGCAGCAGCACAGAGTTTGCTGCTGCTGACTGTTTGTGGGGTGTGGTGTTATCAGTTTGTTGCTGTTCTGAATATGATCGTGTGCATTTTCAGTTCACTGTGAACATGACAAAATGATGGTGATGCAAGTTCCATCGCTGCTGCTGCAGACGGCGATGATGCTGATGATGATGGTGGTGGTGATGATGATACATATCGATGATGCTGGTATTGAAGATGAAGATGATGCTGAGATGTTGCTGTTGTCGTCGTTGTGCTGGCTGTGGACAGTGTTTGGTGGCGTATATACACGTCAGTAGGTAGCTGCTGGCGTTTACTTGCTGGTCAAATCCGGTTGTCGTCTCGCCATCCTCTTGTTCGGATCAGGGATGAACCCTGCCTGGAAAGCTGTTCAGCTACTTTTCGCTTAGCGCCGCCGCTGCCGGCTCAGCATCCCTCAATAAATCTGCTGGGTCGCTGTTGTCGGCACCAGACGTCCGCCCAATACATGTAAACATCTTCGCGAAGACTCTTCCTGGTGGCTGAAGACGAAGACAAGCATGGCACCGAGGGGCTAAACGCATGGCTTCATCCTGCAGGTGCCAGGTAGCATTTCCGTAGGTTCGCTTTTGTATTGCATGCCACCGAGATGTCGCGCATGTTCGTGTACCGAATTACCAACTTCACGATGCTCTGCGAGATTGAAACCTCGCACCTTCCAGGTGGACCTGCCGGTCCGGCTCCAACCACGATCGGCGAGCCACAACTGTCCGGCGACCCAGCACACCCGAGCAGTGGAGCATCTTCGACACAGGGCAGTCTACATCCGTTGCTGTATATGTTTGTATTGCAATATCCATGCAAAAATATATATATATATATATATATATTTATATTTATATATATTCATATCGACTTTCCTCTTTGTACACACTTCTCTCTCCCTCTATATAAAAACATATGCATAGGCGGCATGCTCCTTCCCGCAAGGCCTCAGCCATCACATCCACGAGCCTTGGACCCTGTAAGTGGTCTCACTTTCGGGCCCCTCTGCAATTCTGTAATGCATGTTCTCTTGTCTTCAAGCTCGCCCTGTCAAGCTGTTTAGGGTTTAGGGTTTGGGGTGCCAATGGTAGACTTCCGCAACACCCACAAATACTTGGGTCAGGCCCGGGGTAGTCACCCTGCCGTCGACCAGCTCTGCGCCCTCTTCCTCGGCCGCTTGCGCTGGGAGTTTCAAGGGTCTTGATGTCTCGCTTGGTGATATCGGGTTGGAAGGCATTTTTCGCGTCTTGCGTATTTGTCTACTTAGATGAGATTGTGAGTGCGGCGTGCAGGGTTCAGTTCCGCAGAGGGGTGTACTCCTTCGGATCTTGGGTTTTTTTCCTCCGGCCATGTTGGCTCAGGCAATCTTGGGTGTGAGCGTGTGTGTGTGTGTGCGTGTGTGTGTGTGTGAACCTCCCTAGCACATGGGGCCAGAGGGTCACTCCTACACAGTTTCATGGGGTTGCAGGGGGGCGGAGGGAGTGTGGGGGTGCTCCGCCCAACGAAGCTGCC